AAAATAACATGAAAATTTAATACAAGGTTCCTTATGAGTTGTTCTAATTGTAGCTAAAAAAAATTAAAAATCATTAGTCACAATTTTTTTTTTATAAGCGTTTATAGTTCAAATTTTTACGAAATCTATCGAAAACGCGAATATTTGCAAGTAATTTTGAAGTTGAAAAATCATAAAATTTTTTGTTTTTATAACTAAGAATCAAAAATACAACACTAAGTTCTCCATAAGCTTTCCTTCAAGTAGCTATAGAAAAACTCGAAGCATCATTATAGGAAAAATTTTAAGTGCGTTTGAATTTTAAATTTTTACGAAATAGCGTAACGATAACGATTTATCCTCAAACGATTTTAAATATTTGTTTTTTTTTTTCAAAAAGTATAAGTTGTAGATACTTGAAAATTTTACCAGTTATTTAGATTGGCATTYTCTTTACATGATTTAATTTTCAAAATATTTTGACTTTTTTTTGAGTTATTTATAGACAACTGAAATTTTCAATGTTTCATTAGTTAAGCAAACTCAAGTTCAAATTTCACATTAAACATTTTATTGTTTTATTTTTATTTTTACTATAACAAAATAAATATATAAATATAATTTTACTTTTTTTGAATATTTTGTTTAAAACGTTTAAACATTTATTTTGATTTTATTATTATTATTATTACTTTTATAAAATAAATAAATCTAATTTTACTGTTTTTATAATATTTGATTTTATTTAAAAATTTGTGACGGGTCACACAGAATACCTTCGCGGGCCACAGGTTGGGCACCACTGCTATAGAATATAGATATTGTGCAATTGAGAAATTCGACGTGTCATAGACAGAGTTCTGGTAGGAAATCGGCGTCCAATTTCTTAGAAATAAATTTTACATTTCTAATAACCAAAGAGTAGTAAGACTATATCATCAAATAGTCAGCATTTTTAAACTTCAGAAGTAACAATAATTTGAATTTCTCTTTCTATGCTTTAAAACTACTGTTAGTATATCCATTGATTGTTGCGGGATTAGGAATAAAAACAAAAAAACTTTTTCTATTTAAACATGTCTGTATAATATATTATTATATTGATGAATAAAATATTACACAATACATATACCGATATAGTGATATAATATAATATAATTATATATTTAATTAATTAATTAACAGAAAACCAATATTATATATATAGGCGTAGGGCACGCAAGTATTATTGTATAATATAATATATTTTATTATTTTAAACATTAAGATTAAAATTGGACCTTGACTTAAACGTGAATCTGGTAAGTAATACAATGATCTAATTATGTTAATTTGCGTTCGTTTTCTTTTTTTGGACGCCTTTCGTTAAGTAATTATATATTATATAATATTGTAATAAAGGGCTAACATATTATTTTAGTTTAATTATGTTATAAATTAATTATAAGGTTTAGAAAAGGTCAATAAAATACTTCAGTAATCTTACGTTTAACACTTTAACTTATATTGAACAATCAAACACAGTAGCTGCACAACGCTCGAGACGCGCTGTCCAGCTATACACTGTCTCTATACGTGCAATGTGCACTGTCCACTCTCTCATCAGTGATCACCCCTACCACCACTATATGATAGATAACAATTATAAGAACCGTTTTCACTCATATAATATGCATATTAGCTATAAGTATAATATGATGTCTAAAAATATTTTACCACATCCGTTCAATTGTCTAAATATAAGGATTTAAGGGCGCACCGTTAGGTTGCTGGTGTGCAGCAATGCTTGTCGCGACAATTATTAAGGCAACAGTTGTCGGTATAAGGAGAAAAATATTGACGAATTATTATATTATACTTACAATATAATATTCACAATCGTTAGTTCCTGCTAAATAACTTTTATCTTAAACAATAAACAGTGACAAAAAAAAAAAGTTTGTTTTTAGAAACGGTTTAGACTACATTTTTTGCGTATTTAAGGTATATATCAGGGATGGCGAACTTGTTTTACAGAGTCTCATCCATTGATCATTTTGAGTGACACGTTAATTAAATATAATTCATAATTTTAACTTGACTTTCTACAAAAAAAAAAACACAGAAGTGCTTTTTGAAAGTAATTTTAAAGCTTAAAATAATTTCCATATCATTTTTTTTATTTATTATCAATAATTAGTTTTATATTATTATCATTACTACGAGTATCACACAGTTGTGACTCGCTACTGCTTTTATTGAGTAGAAAGTCTTCCAAATAAATTTTCTCCTATGAAAAAATAAGTCTTTTACACTATGTGCTTAATTAAATTGACATTGAGGAAACAAATTGAATCAGATATTAGCAGTTTAGTAAGTGTTCCATTAAAATCTACTAATTGTAATCCCGTGGATGAAATCATTAGCTGAAAAAAATCAGTGACAAATTTCTTATTAAAAATTAACATATAATCAACTCATTAAAAATACATAATATATTGTTCAGATTTTGTTTTTTTAATGCTTAAATTCTTTAATGTATTTCAATGTTAATGTATTGATATGATTAATTATTTATTCATAACAATATGTAGATAATGCTGTTAGAGTTTTGAGTATATATCGTAGTATAGTATAATATTATACTCAATKGTAATATTAAACAATGATATGAACGTGACAACTAATTTCTGATTGGATTCTGTAATGTGTGTATTTTTAAATCATTTCACACTGACATGCTTGCTTATGAAAAAAAAATTCGAATTTTTTTGGATACACAGATACTATCACAGAACAATTTGATACTATAAAGTTCACCACCCCGTCCACCCCTAATCCTATATATAGGGATACGTCTTTAATATAATATGATATAAATATATAATATATATATAAATATTATGTATATATCAATATAAGTTACAATAGGTAATTAGTTAAATAATATGATAAATACTATATAAATGGTATAATATAATGTTATGTATACAATAGTAGTATATAGGTAATTAAATTATCACAAATCACAAAATGTATATTATAGCATGCACACTCTCAACACGATTTCATTGCTCATTACACATAAAAAATAGAGATATCATTTAATAGAATAGAATCGTTTGTAAGTAAAACATTATTAAGTTTTAAAATTTAATTTTACCTAAACGCGATATTGAATGTCGGGAGATGACAGAAAGAGARGGATGATCAGAAATATAGAAATATAGACTGACGAGGAAATATGTAGGTATGGAAGTTGTTGTCAGGAATGTCACACTTAGACATACACACACACACACACACACACACACACATACACACAAATGTATAATATAATATTTACTGTACATACTCACACAGAGTTTTTTTGGCACCTTGGTACTAGCTAATACCTTTATTATAATAATATGTTTTTATATTTTTTAATTTTTCGTCGCTACACTACCGACTTCGTTGTCTTCGATACCAGACGTCTTCACGCTCCGCTTCACTACGGACGCTTCCAAACCAGCATTTAACTGACCTCTTGCTGAAGTCTCGGTGTCTCTTCTCGTCTTTGCAGAAAAATTGTCATTTTTCATCTGATGGATACCGTTCGATTCTAAAAATACACAGGAAATTATACAAATATATATTATATCGATTCGCATAGTATTATCATATAAAAACTATATTATAACTATTCAATTATATTTTAGTTAAAGGTGTAARTACGTTGTATTATTTGTTACTGCTAATTTATTATAATTGTAACAAGTAAGTTCAAATATTATTGTCGATGCGGTCTTATACCTGARTTGGGGTAAGCATCAAGATATTTGCTGAAGCCTTCTTTGGCGGCGGCCATTAGTTCCGGGTGTTCGGTCAATGTATCCGAAAGCGACGTTATCAGTAAATCTGAAATGCAAACAAAATAAAGGTAATATTATTTATAGGTCCAAGATTATGATTCCTTCCCAATATGCTTATAAAGTAGGTACATAATATATGTAGTAATACGACTAATACGTAATAACATCTGAAATATTGCCAATATTTTTTTATTTTTGGGTAATTCATAATAATATATATAGCGAGAACATATACGCTGATATATATATAATATGTAATACATTTATCTTTGAAAGTCTGTTTATGTATTTTGACTTACCCAATATCTTTTTCTCAAGGACTCTGGAAATCCTTCCTCGGCTCGCTTCGGTTTCCAAGAAGTCAGTGAATTTTTGCAAAGATTCTTGAGCTTCTGACCCGCCTAAAATGTGAAAAACATTATTACGTCTCATCAATAAAAWAAATACCCGCAGTAATTTTAGGTAGACGCAATTATCCATTTTCGAGTTTGAAAAGTGAACATGTAATGGATCTGACACTTGTATCATTGTTTTAACTAGAGYTCAAGCGAAGAATTTGATATACCGACATTTATTTTAGAATGTAAACTATTTGTAAACTTTCAACCCACATATAATATGTTATTATAAAGTTGGTAAGTAGTTTGAAGAGTATTCACATATTGTTCAAAACGTCCACAATAGAGGCTTAGCAGTATGGGCACATTTTTACTTTTTAAAATCGACATTATACTTTAATTTGCTGTCCCAAGCATGTAAAATAGGCTAAATAGAATGTTAGTTATGGTTATAAATGGCGGTCGTTCTTAAATGMTAAATTTTTTTTTTGTGAAATAACAAAAAAAGAACTTAACTTTGCCTACATATCAATATCACGATGTTATAACTTTAAAAAATCTACGATGTTATTAAAATTCCCATGTTTATTGTTTTTGTTAAAGCTAATACTTAAAACGTTAAAGACAAAACGATTTATCATTATTCAAAAATTTTTCTTCGTTAAACAATCATAGCTAGAAATATTATCCAGTTATCTATGTATAATTTTAATGGAACTTATAAAGATTTATTTACTTTAAGTATGTATCTCATATTTTTACGAGAATGATTGTGATATTATAATTAATTATAATAGTATTGACAAATATGACTTTAAATTGCATACACATAGCGCCGTCTTACGATTACATGATGAGAATTAGGTTATGCAATTCTTTTTTTTTAATTTACCTTTTTATAAATACGTATACAATTTTTGACTGGTGCAATACCAAAACCACTGAATGAATAGAATATTAATAGATTTTAAAATTTATAAATATCTATTACAGTGATAATTAATTTGCTTATTTCACTTTACTTTTTGAAGAAAATAGTTTGATTATTATATCTACGAACTTATTACAATATTTTAGATGTTTGCAAYCCGATAYTTTGTTTTCATTGATATTTTAAGACTTACGTAACATCTGATSATTATATATTTCTACATATACCTTACARTATTATTGTAAAGAAGAGCAGTATGAAACACAATTTGACTTAAACATAAAATGTTGGTAAAATGAAATACTAACACCAACAAGAGGGAAAATGATATAATTGTTTCCCTACAAGCTTTATAAGACCCTCACCCTTGTATATACTTTCTTAAGTTAAAATTACGTYGGATAATAGAATTTAGATATTTTAATAATAAGAATAAGTATGTCATAAAATTAAAACTTTGTGATTTACAACTAATATTATGCAAATTATACAAATATTTGTAGCTACCGACAAGACATACCGATAAAAAGTCCTTGGTTGAACATGAGCTTAGCTAGTTGATAAATGATTTCGTCCATCATCGTCTGGGCATACGTATAATCTGWCGGAGCCGTCATCGTTTCCAAAAGTCGATTGTACTGCGAATCAGACATGCGCAGTTTTGCTTCCAAGATTTTTCGAATTCCTAAAAAGAATAATATAAGTAGGTTATTCATAAAAAGTGAAAACAAAGTCAATTTTGTGGTCAGTACGTTTCGAGTTGTAATCTTCCTCCTCCAAGTCGATGCTTTTTTTGCTATACTTGTCTCTGAGTATCTGTTGCATTTCTTTTAGTTCGGTCAACGTTCCATCAATGTCGTTGAAATCGGAAGATTCATAGTTCTTTTGGAATTTTAATGGGTTTTCCTATAGAAAAAAAAAAAGATAAAACGGTTTTGGAAAACACAATACATTCAAATCTTGTTGAATTCTCACAAAACAATTATATACTGATTATTTAACAAATGCTTAGAATTTTACGCGTTGAACACGATTATTACGATGCAGTCTGCTGTACCTACGTCATATTTTGCAGTGCACCGATTCGATTAAATTTCGTAATGTAAGCAGGACACGTTAAATCCGAGAATTATTCGTGGCGATAAACAGAAATGTCGATTATTTTACTACACCAGCTATATGCATGTAGATGTTTATATGTTTACATATTATGTATATATGTATGTATGATGTACGTTTGTTATGTATGTATGCATGTGTATCGCGTGGGTGCGCGACGGGTACAAATGCGATTGGGATGGGTTACGAACGTATGTTTACAGCACCACTTCACGTGGGTAGTTTCGATGTGTGTAATAAATTATGCATYGTATAATAATATATAAAGGTATAAAGTTTGCGTTCTGCACGTTTCAAATATCTATATGCACACAGATTACAGAGTGATCAATTTGACCGCAGCATGATTAAATACATTTATTTTATAAGTCAACAGTTATGTTATGTCGAAAAACGAAAATCCAATATTACGTTCTCTCTACATACAAGATTAAATGTAAACTATACATGTTTTTAGCACGGTTATTTTATCAAACATAAAATAAAGGTCTTAAATTGTATCCAACAATAATAACTGTATTTTATTATTTTCTGAGATCAACGGACTGACAAGCTGACAACATTTAAATTCAAATAGTATACTACTCGATATTTTTTTTTTTCAAAAAGGAAAATTAAAAAATTATTGATTGGCGTGTTTTTATTGTTCATTTGTGTTTCAATGGCATTGGATTTACGCTAAATCGGTAAAATAAAAGTTGTATCCAGTCCAAAAATATACATATGTTGAGATGATTGTTTTTCGTGATTTAACTACATTCAAGTATTCGACGGATATGGGTTGAAAACTAAAAAGTAACCTATGATCCTTTTGTGGTTCTTGCTGAATTTATTGATAAAAATTATATGAAAATCGGACGAAAACTATGGATTTGCATAAATCTCATCGGTTTTATTCGTTTGATGTGATACAGTTTATATATATATATATTGATTCTGCATGGCGTTGCCTGTGATAAATTAATATGCTAATGGATTTACTATATCTTAAACTCTATTAAAAGTAAACTACACATATTTTGAACATAGCCATTTGGAATTTGGTTTTGATCGAATATAAAATACAGCACGTCTAAAATTACATCCAGACATCGATAACTATATTTTACATTTCGTAACCAATGGGAACCTTGTACGAACAGAAAAAGAGATATTCATACATACTGCTATTAGTTATATTTGTGAGCCCATATTTAGAAAAATTTAAACAAATTGACTTTGAAATGTACATCCCTGATGGGTATTACAGAATTACACATATCGTACCAAATATCAGTAGGCACTAAGAGTACGATGGGCTTGTTCATGGATCGCTTAAACGTACTYACACACATTGTCTTTTATTTATATAGTTTGCAGTTTATTATAATATAGTCTATTTATATACGAGATAAATTATTTTAAGATTGTGTGACCCTACAACAAATACTGCAGGGTTAAATATTAAAAATAAATAGCAGTCGACTGCGCTATGGATACTTAAAGTTTYAAGTGCGGAGCTCACTAAAAAAAAAGGTTTGGGAAACCCCTGTTATAGAGTATACGAATTCATGGTAATATGAACATAAGTACTCACGATGTCTTTGCTTGAAACTTCTACGCCTTGGTCGGAGTAACGTGCGTCCAGTCGGTACAGCTCCCTGTCGATCTTGTCCAAGTACGCCAATGCCGATTCGCGATCCAACTGAAACACACGAATCACAGGAAGACCCGTCGTCAGTTACGTTACGATAATCACGTTACAGTTATACAGGGTGGTAAAGTATTTCGTAGTCATCAATTCATCATCATACATCGTACGTACATGTCATATATGTATTGATGTAACGTAGTCGAATSAAGCTCGGTGCATAGCTATCGATCGAATTTTGTTTTTGGCCAGTGCATTTAGGTTTGAAACTGATTTTATTACAATAGTAATTAGTTTTATATTGTCCAAARAATTTGCAGGATCGTCCTACGATGATAAGGTGAACGCCTACAACCCCACATCTATGCTTTTGAACATATTATATACCTGTTATACTATACACAGTTATGTTATACTATTTTAAACTTTGAATTTTTGTTCATAAATTTATTTAGTTATATTTTAAACTAATTTTGATTATTTAAAATTTACAAAATTACAACTATTGAATTAGTTGGTGTTATTTTTTGTCTGTCGTGTTTGMAACCATTTGCATTAATAGACGTCATCATACCCGCAAATGTTAATTATTTTCATGATCCATTCTCAACTGGAGAATATGCGTGTTCGGTGTGGAGTCAATCCAAACACGCTAAAAATGTATCTGTAGTTCTGAACGATATCTGCAGAATCATAATGAGACGTCTTAAACTAACGTCTACACACAAGATATACCTTCTAGCAGGCATAGCTCCACCTTAAATTAGAAGACGAGTAACCACTGATATAGAAAAAACCAAACAGATAAAGGACGAAAGACATCCTAACATATATATATATAATTAAAAATAAGATTTGCAGATTTGCTATATAAAGGGTTAAATACATTTTTTCATTTATACCTAATTTATTAATTAAAAAATATTTTTTTGTAGGTATACAAATCAGAATATTTATACCTATATTTATTGAAATAATGAAAGAGAAATGTATTGGTCTTATACAAAACGATGATTTTGTTTCGTATATTTTTTTAACTTATTTTTCGTTTGAACACTTCTGGATAGAGGTGTATATATTATATGCTTTACCAAATCAAAAGAGGCTTCGAAGATATCATTTTAGATTTTGAGCGGAGCGATGAATGTATTGATTTTACCATGATGAATGTTTTTATTTTATTTTATTTTTTTAATTTTTTAAACGTGTCTGTCATCACGTTTTGGGGTAGTAAAAGTGCTTCGATTTTTTACTCAGTACCTCATTCGATCAGAAAGTGAATCTAGTTAGTACTTTTGGGGGTCAAAAGTATAAAATTCTTAATACTTTTCTAAATAATCGAGAAAAACAAACTAAAAATTAAGGAAAAAACGGAAAATTTTACGCACAATCAGTTTTCAACCAAATCGATTTTGGTTTTTGATCTAACTCTAAAAAAAATGACATGAAATTTCCACTGAAAATTTATGTCAGTATAATTTATATTTATATTCTATCTACCATGCAATTTTCAAAAAATTTCAATTTAATTTGAACTATTCATAGGTATTTGCAATTTTCAATCATTATTAATTTTTTTTTAAATAAATATCGATAAAAATGTATTTGTTGGGTAGCAAAGCTTGAAAATTGTATACAATACTCTTAACACATTGTTACAATAGCAGTTGAAAAATAAAATAAATTCATAGATTTTCTTATTTTGGTGTAACTCTAAAACAAATGATCACAGATACTTGAAATTTTCACTGAATGTTTATATAGGCGATTTATATATTTGATATAATTTTCAAAATGTTTAGATTTGTTTT